TTGTATTCGTGATTCGATAACTTCAATGGTAAAATTGTATCACGGACGATGATTTTGCAAAAGAAATAATGATTAACTATGATCGAGATTATAACATTGTCGTGATATAACCTTAACAATCTTTACACGGTTATATTGGTGGCAAGTATATCTTAACTCGATACAATCAATTTTTTATTTCTCTTACATAGATTGTATGATCGATAAAGTTGTATTGTAAAAATTATAAAGAAATAAATTGGGATCGCGATACGATCAAAACGTGAAATTTTCAAGAGAATTGTATAGAGTAGAGCGTCGATTATACGTTTATGGAATGACGTATTTAACGATGTTTATATTATGAGACACGGAGCTCCGCCGCCGAGTTTAGTATGTTGTGTGAATTTAATGCGTTCGCACGTAGAAGATTTCGCTCGTACGATGAGCATTAAACGAAAAAGGGAATACAATTGTCGGTAATAAACGAGGATAGAGCATAAAATAGTATCATTTTAACGTATACATGTGGCGAAGCAATGAAAATGTATCGATTATAAAATGCTTAGAATGGAAAAACGAATCGAAATGAAGTTATAGTTGTTATACGAATGTTAGAAGGAATTTATTATTTACCAATATTCAAAAAAATCTAATTTTTAATGTCCTATTTTTCTTATTATAAGTATTCGTAAAAAATCATTGAGATTAGGAAAAATTGATTTCTAATTAAGAATTTGATTCTTTCGGATCGAAATCATCCGAAACGAATCGAAACGAATTGTCTTCTCAATTAGTTCGATAATCGATGCTCTACTATCGATTTCCTATTATTAATATTTTATTTTCTTTATTGTTAAATATATAAAAAAACCATTATTCGATTTATCGATTTATGACGTTAATTAAGAATTTGATTTTTTCAGATCGAAATTATCCGAAAAATCGATTTAAAAAAAACGAATGTTACAAAGAATCTCTAGATAATAGATGTTTTAAAAATTGTTAAAAATTTGCGATAAAGAGGGAAGGAATAATTTTTTTAAATTTTTTTATCGAGAACGAATTATTAACTATATAATAATAATAAAAAGAAAAAGGTATTAAACTTAACGGGGGCGGTAGAGTGAAAATTATAATTGAATGAAAAAGTGAAATTGACGAGCAAGTTGGTCAAAGTTCTTCCACGTAAGGTGAATCGAGGTGAATCGCGTAAGTTTAACGAAGATAAATCGAGCAATGGACAATTGTTACTTGTTATGACCTGTTCTAAAATTATCGTATCGTCGTTGTGGAATGGAATTTCTATTCTATCTTGAAAAGAAAAAAAAAAAGAGAAAAAAAAAAAAAAAAAAAAAAAAAAAAAAAAGAAGAGCATGGCTACTGTGGTTAGAGAATGGACGGTCGCAGGAAACGAGGGAAAAGAAAAAAGTTATCGTAGATCTCAGTGATAGGGAAAGCTAGCTAGAGTCGAACAGGTGTGATTGTTCTCATGGAAATTACTCTGAAACATTTTGCATTTCGTTTGAGCAATGTCGTGGATCATCATGGTTTTCTAGGTAGATACATTTTTCCAGTGTTGCTTTTTACGAAATCGAATACTTTTACACTTTACTTTACTAGTTTCGTGGCGTGTAAATCGAATAATTAGATAGATTGATTAATCCTCTTTGTGGCTTGAATCCAACGTGGAATCGATTCGATTACTATTTTATTGCAACATTCAGTTTTTTTGCACTCAGTTTTTCAACGAGATAAGATAAGATTATCTTACCGTTTTTGGATTCTAGAAAAAATATTAGATTGCAAAAATTGAAAAAATTTAATCAGAAGATTAATAGAAAAGCAAGATACCAATTTTTTTTTATAGTTTTTAACGATAGAATTATTTATAAACGTCTATTAATCGCGCGGTAGATGCTTAAAGAGCCGCCTCTTTATTTGATACGGGTGAAGTATTTAGATCGAGAACAAAGGTTAATTGAAAGTTTTCAAATACTTCGACGAAATCGTTGTATCGAGCTCGTTCACATCGAGAGCATATCCTCGACTTGCAAAGTTGGTGAATGCAGAGTTCACATTGAAGAAATAACTAAAGGCGATTGAAAAGAGTCGGCGTTACAATATATGTTTTCAGAGATTTCTCTTCCAACAGTTGGTATGTTTTTGTCACACGTTTATAAATTGCAACATTATTTCCCTTCTTCTTTTTTTATTTGTCAATGGAAATATCTGTACACTTGTGCATCGTGAATAAAACCCTTTAGTTGTTTCAAAATTTTTTACAATCGTAGTGGTATATATTTCTAAAAGTAAAAAATATTTATTTTAATCTTTCGTGCATTTTTCAGAAATGGATAAAGAGATAAAAAATTGTTATCTCCACGAATTCCATTGATAAAAGATATTACGTGACTGCTCGATGAAAATTCGTGTTACGTTCTTCGACTTTGATACACTTGAAAATGTTAGAGTTCGCCCAAGCTTTGCAAATGGGCATTCACGCAACAGTCTGTTCCTTTGCTGTGTGCGTGTTCACGAAGAAACGGTGCCAAGGTACAAAACTGTCGCATAATGCGTGTGCGTTACTACTTTACACTTCGACTAACCATTCTTACATCGATCGAAACCGTTACACGATATTTTTACTCGATCAAAATTGAGTTTAAGGTTTGTAGAGATATTCGAGATCGATTTGAAGAACGTCTAGACAAAAGTTTTTTCATGGCATTATTCTCGTTATTACGGAAAAGGGACACCTATGCAAAAATAGCATGCTCGATCGATATTACCGGTCGACAGTTCTCCTTTCGACCGCATAATTTCATCGACCCTGTCTTTCTTTGTAACAATTTCACGTACCTGTTCTTTGTATAAATCTGCGTAAAATATCCAGTAAAAACGATCGATCACGTCGTTCTAATCTTTAACAATTGTTGTTAGTATGTGGAAATGTAAGAATTATTTATAAATAAGTACTCGTTTCATAAAAAATTAGAAAAAAGTTAGGTTAAAAGAATGTTTATATTTGTTTCATAGTTCGTGCAGTTTGCAAAGAAATAATCGTGTAAGTTTGCACGTTAACCTTATTTTGTAATCTAATGTATTATGTCTCTTTTGTTTAAAAAAACATTTTCAATTAATTCACTTACGATAATGAGAAAGGTTACCAGTAGAAAATCTTTTTTACAAAGTGCGTTTATGAAGAAATAAATGATACATGGAAATAAATTTTTTAAAGAAGATCAGTCGACAGCAAAGTCGACAATGAATGTCGAATATCGAATCTTCAAGCGGTATCAATGCATATGATCCTGTACACGCGATACTTCATAGGTTAGGTCGACTTTAGTACGATATACGTATATTCCGTGATTCTGTTCATCGTTTACATTCACGTGCTTGTGACATCTGTATCGACTTGGACGCTACATCGATGCTGTCGCCGTTGCCATCGTTATGTAGGTAAAAAATAATAAATTATTACTTCTCGATATGACGAATAAAAGATTTTTATATCATTTTTTAAATTCCATCGAAATGCCCAAGATATACGTTGCTAAATAATACATTTATGAGTAACTTTTTTGTATCGATTGATTTCGATAAATTTTATGACGAAAATTTAATAATATTGTTTCGATTACGGATTATTACGGAGAATAATTTGCTTTTACCGTGAATAAATGAAACTCTCTTTGCAATTGTTTTCGACAATAATGATTTTGAAAAAACTTTGAAAAATTGTTTGTCCCGCTTTTCGAATGAAACTCGAGAAAATTTTGAAACGGATTGAAAGACATGCTGTTTTTGTTCGACCTGAATAATTATTCGCAAGCTGAAAAATTTGTAACGCTCCAAATAAAAATTGTTCTGACTTTTGTAAATAGCAGTTTAGAAAAGCTATTATTCATCTCTTTTTTTATTTTTCGAAAAAAGGAATGGAAGTGGAAAATGGGCGAGAATGGTGGAAAGAGAAGAAATGAAAGAAAAATTTAACTTGTTATTAGTAATCGTTTGACGTTAGTAAGACATAACGAACGGTTAACTAGGATGGGTTAGCGCACAGTATGCACGAATCGGGCCACGGGGCCAAGGCTGAACGTTGGTTGTTACTAACGTTGCTGGCAACACCCCGATGGCTGGTCACCGTCAATTCCGAGAAAGCTGGCGCGACTTGTCGTCGCGATGCTCCCAAATCGTACCAACTTCTCCCTATTCTCGTGAAAAATCACCAGAATTCGAATCGAAAATTCTCAATCTCCATATTTTAAATAAAAAAAATCTTTGGAATTTCAATCGAAAATTTTCAATCTCCATATACCAGCTTCTCCCTTTTGACGAGAAAAATTACTAGAATTCGAAAATTTTCAATTTCCATGTTTCGTAGTTGCCAACCTCTCCGTATTCCCGTGAAAAATTATTAGAATTCACTAGGAAAATTCTCAATTTCCATATCACTTAATTACCAGCTTCTCTGCATTGCCATGAAAAATTTCTAGAATTGGAATAAAAAATCTTCCATTTCCATACGTTCCATTACTTTTTTTTTTTTTTTTTTCTACATGATATCGCGCGAACGATTAATCTTACCTTTGACGTCGCTCGTATTAATGTTGCAACAAGCATATATTCTTAGAAATTTTTTTTTTTTTTTTTTTTTTTCTACATGATATCGCGCGAACGATTAATCTTTCCTTTGGCGTCGCTCGTATTAATGTTGCAACAAGCATATATTCTTAGAAATTTTTTTTTTTTTTTTTTTTTTTTAATATACACACCATACGTACCAACATTTCTCGTGAAAACTCTCTAGAATTCGAATAGAAAATGGCAGCAAATTTCCATATCGCAATTACTTTATTATATTATTATTGTTTATATATTATATTATTATTGTTTCCGCATCCGTGACTCTGTGGATATATGAAAGGCGTGATATCGCGAGGACGATTAATCTAGTCTGAACGATGGTTGTTAAAGTTGTAACGAGTAAAAACCTCTTAGACATTTTTCCATTTTTCTAGATGACAGTTGCGAGCGGTCGACGCTCAAAACGATACGCGAGCCACTGAGGGGATCCTTTGCCCGGGGAAGCGGACGAGAAGTGGTAAGCAAGAAGATGAGAGTCCGTGAAAGTTGAAGTAAAAACCTACACAACGAATAGCAACAGTCTGCCTCGTCCATTGCGACCAGCCACATATCTCACGTTAAGGTAAGCTTTTACTTTTTTTTTTTTCCTTTAATTTTTTACGATTATAGTATAGCTGGATTGGATCGTTGAATCGCCCCCTTTCTGCCATGAATTCGATATCCTTTATCGGAAGCGTGTAGTCTAACGCGAGTGAAATGCGAATTTGTCACGAAGATTTTTTCGATGGGTGGATGATGATCGTTGGATGATTTTCTTCCGAAAGTTTTCATTTTTGCACACACATACACACGCGCGATGTATTTGAGAATATTTTTTTTTTCAAATTACTTGTAAGCGATTGTAAATTTTAATGCAATATCTAAAGTAATTCGCGAGAGTCGATTTCTTTGTCGAAAATTTTATTCTCAGCAAAGAGTATTTGAAACTTTAGTGTGCATGATTGTTCTTGATGGATTTCCTTGCATTTTTCACTATTTTGCAATATTCGTATAATTCGAAAATTCTTTTCGATTTTTAGCATCGAAAGTGTTGAATGTGGAATATAATATAATATTGAATTTTTTTATTTCATTTTCATTTTTCAATTTCGTTTTATTTAAAACGATGTAGTTTGAAATTAAAAATAAAGAGAAAAAAATAAAGTTTATCTCGCGTTCTCGATCGAGAAGAAAATTTATACGTAGAAGCGTCACCGGTTCAAGAGGGATGAAATCTTTTTTCTCGAAGCGTAAAAATTTCTACCAAGTATTCGAGGAAACCGTATCAACAAGGAAATCATTCGCAATTTTTTGGTCTCATTTTCCATTTCGATTCGCGCAAATGTTATAAATGTGATTGGCAAATGTTATTTGTATAAGCGTAACGAAAGGAAACGAAGAGGAGAAAAAAAAAAAGAAAAAAAAAAAGAAAAAAAAAAAGAAAAGAAATGAAGAAAAGATTCCATTGCGAAGGGAAAATCGGGGCGTGCGAGACATTCCGCAAGAAGAAGCGTGACTTGAAATATTCTTGAACTGCGTTCTAGATTCTCCAGCTTTACCATAGATCACGCATTCCTTTTTTCCTTTCCAAGTTCATCATTTCATCAAGATCTTCGAGAATATCAAAAATATAATTTCAAATCAAGATTCTTTTATTCTCTCGAATTACGAATTCAATTTTTAATCCATCGAGAGATCGATTCAAAATTTCTCGATCTGCTTCAATCACGAATTATCATCGATTCAAAATTTTTCGATTTGCTTTAATCATGAATTACTATCGAGAGATTGATTTAGAATTTTTCGATTTATTCCAATCTCAAGTACAATTTTTAATCTATCGAGAGATCGATTCAAAATTTTTCGATTTATTCGAATCTCGAATGCAATTTTCAATCTATCGAGAGATCGATTCAAAATTTTTCGATTTATTCAAATTTCGAGTGCAATTTTCAATCTATCGAGAAATCGATTCAAAATTTTTCGATTTATTCAAATTTCGAGTGCAATTTTCAATTCATCGAGAGATCGATTCAAAATTTTTCGATTTATTCAAATTTCGAGTGCAATTTTCAATTCATCGAGAGATCGAGTCAAAATTTTTCGATTTATTCGAATTTCGAGTGTAATTTTCAATTTATCGAGAGATCGATTCAAAATTTTTCGATTTATTCAAATTTCGAGTGCAATTTTCAATTCATCGAGAGATCGATTCAAAATTTTTCGATTTATTCAAATTTCGAGTGCAATTTTCAATTCATCGAGAGATCGATTCAAAATTTTTCGATCTGTTCCAATCTCAAGTACAATTTTCAATCTATCAAGAGATCGATTCAAAATTTTTCGATTTATTCGAATCTCGAGTGCAATTTTCAATTCATCGAGAGATCGATTCAGAATTTTTCGATCTGTTCCAATCTCGAGCACAATTTTCAATCTATCGAGAGATCGATTCAAAATTTTTCGATTTATTCGAATCTCGAGTGCAATTTTCAATCTATCGAAAGATTCAGAATTTTTCGATCTGTTTCAATCTCGAGTACAATTTTTAATTTATCGAGAAATCGATTCAAAATTTTTCGATTTGCTTTAATCCCGAATTACCATCGAGAGATCGATTCAGAATTTTTGGATTTATTCGAATCTCGAGTGTAATTTTTAATTCATCGAGAGATCGATTCAGAATTTTTCGATCTATTCGAATCTCGAGTATAATTTTAAGCCATCGAGAGATCGATTCAGAGATCGATTTGTTAATCTGCTCGATATAATTTTAAGTTCTCGATTAAAGATATTAAAAAAACAAAATTATTTGGAAATAAGTATCTTTATTGCTAGAAATCATAGATACAAACGAAATAAGAAAACGTAAAAAAGTTTGGAATCTTTCTCAGGAGCTATATTTCTTTTTTATCGGCTCATTCTTTGTTTCGAAAACTTGATATCAATGTTTAGACCCGATAAATTGACAACTTATACAACAAGTTACGATCAAATTTCTTTTTTGTTCCGATAAAATCAATCGATGAGATAGAACTTGATCCGATCTTCCTCCTTTATGGTCTCACGCGTATGCCATTCCTTGACATTTTTATTCTTTTCTTAGATTGTGTTACTGTGCATATTTAGCAGTGGATGTTACAGCAATTTTATCATCAAACGATTATTTTTCCACGAAGCATTCCAAATACTTCCGATAAATAGAGCAACTATCGAGAATTTCTTTCCTCTCAAACTCCCAAAAACTTCTCAAAATCTCAGAAAAAAAATATATATATATATATACTCTCAAGAGAAAATTTCGAAAATCTTTCTTCACTTCTTTCTTCTCAAACTCCCAGAAACTTCTCAAAATCTCAGAAAAAAAATATATATATACTCTCAAGAGAAAATTTCGAGAGTCTTTCTTCACTCTCAAATGTATTCCCAAACGGCTCAAAAAAACTTACAAAGCAAATACACTAAAAAAGAAAAAAACTTTTGAGAATTCTTTCGATGGAATTAGGGAAATTGGGACTAAATAACGAAGGAATTCGAAAAAGGAATCGATCACTTCAATCCACGCCATTTCGGATTATATCGAGTCGAGAGCACGGTTGAATTTGAAAGCTTCCCTCTCGATCTTGTCGTGCGCCCGTTAAACAATGTCGTGACGAAACAAACTGCCACGGAGAACATTTATCGCGGTAGAAAAATTCATCGGTTCACGGTGAAATTGCGGCGACCCGGTTTCGAGAATGCTAAAATCTCGTCCTTAACCTAGCTAAGTTAATTCAGCGCCTTCACCTTTGCGTGATGTTATCGACTTCCTTGTAAATTCCGTGCTCGGCCGGATCGGTGAAAGTCTTCCACCGATAAAATTGTATCGTCGAGCCCGCTTTACAAATTCGAATTCTCGTGTAGATAGCAGCTCGTAAAGATCCGGGAATATCCTTTCTACAGAGTATACAAAAGCCATTCACGGTTGATAGAATAGGATAATGTCCACCTTTCAGATAGAAATCCTTAACGTCTATAACGTGTTCGTGTCGTTTGATCGTGCAAATTTTCTGATAAAATTGTATCGAAACCTCGAACGTGATGAAAAATATTTCGACGAGAAGATAAAAAAATTTTAAATTTAATAAGATGATATTTGTTCATATATTGATACATAGTGCACGCGTTGTGTCTAGCAAGTTTATTTTTTTGAAAAAATAAAAAATAAAAATTGGTAAATAAAAATTCACCAAAAAAAAAAAAAAGTAGGATAAAAGCAAGCTGTTTCAAGACGATATCGAGAAAATACGAGAATTTTTGCTGTAAAATGGCATTAAAAGAGAGAGAAAGAAATTGTTCAAACGATTATGCCAAATAATAAAATTGAACGACGAATTTTCAGATTTTATTCGTCGAAGAAAACTGAAAAAGAGATAAAGTATTTATAAATCTCCTAGGGGGTACATTTGCTCCGACGAAGCCTCGAGGAAACTCGTATTTGCGCGCAATCTTTTTAAGAAAACAAAAAACAAAAAAAGAAAAGAAAAAAAGACGAACGAAAAAGGAAAGGATTCTTTTCATCTTAGATCTCTCCAAGCTCGTCAATATTTGTTAGTAATTAGAAATAATGGAAGGAAAATTTCCGTTTGGAAATCGCTTTGCTCGAAACATTACGCGATTGTCCCAGATCGAGGAGCAAAAGCGTGGGAGTAACCTCGGCGTCTCGGTGTCTGTTGCGCTAGATATTGTCCCTGTAATTTGCGAAGGAGCATCCTTTCGCCTTTCGTAGATCTTGCGAAGACGATATTGATCCACGTTCTACATAACTGTGCAAGGAAGAAAAAAAAATAATTCACCAAGGATTCGAGTTACGTCCAAATGGATTTTAATCCGGATACGGATGCTCGAGAGAGAGAGAGAAAGAGAGAGAGTCGAGGCAGACAGGAAAGAGAACGATGAAAACGACGAGTGATATCTAGTCGGACTGTGTGTTCACGCAGGAAAATAAGTTTACGATTTAATCGGTAGAATCGGGAGGTAAAGTGACTGAGAGCGTGGTTAGGAGCGCGCATGCGTGCGATTTCGAGCGAAAGAGTGGTGAAAAGGAGTGGGGAGGGGAGAAAGGAGAAGAAAATTGGTTGGTGGGTCCCGTGGATGGAAAAGAAAGAAAGGGAAAAAACAGCGGTATCGGGTTACGAAAAGAAATATCCTTTGGTGGAGTAGAAACGGAAGAGGAAGAGGAAAAGAAAGATGGGAGAGAAACGGTGAAGAAGCGGAGAGGGGTGGAAGTGCAGGTTGGAAAGGAGTCGTGGACTCGGAATGGGACGGTCTAAGCCACGTGATGTACTCTATAGCGTTTCGTGCCGCAACGCCCCGTATTGATCGAACGAACATCAGCTGTACGGTTGGTAGCGTTTACTCGTACCTACCGCCTGCCGGTCTGACTAACACTGGCCACGACCACTTGCTACCATTCGACTCGCGCTACTCTCTCGCCACTTGTCGAATCTTTCGTTTATATCCTTAAATTCAGATTTTTTTTTCATGTTTCTCGTGATGTCGTTCAGAGATATTCGCCATCTGCTGGTTCGATAATATTCGATA